TTTTGTGACATATCATTTGTGACTAAACTCATCTGACCGCTAATGATTTGGGATTTCCAATTAATGAAAAATCCATGGGAAAAATGTTCTATTGATAACTACATCTGTGATAGACGTTGCTATCCATTTCTGGGTACCATTCAAGTCAATGGCTGTCAATCAGTTAAGCCATCAATGTGACACAATTTTGAGATCGCTCCCAATTCGGAGCTAATGCTGAGGGTGTAGAGCTTTAATGGAAAAATGAGAATCCTAAGTGTTATCTACGCATAGCAAATTTCTCACAAGAAGGAGGAGCGCCCGGCGAAGCCGGGCGACACCACAAGAAGGAGGGAAGCCCGGCGTTAGCTGGGCGGCCCGACTGGTATTAGTAATAATCAAGTTAAATGCAGCTTCATAACTCTAACTTTATCCCAAGCTTTTCTTCTTCAAGAAACTCGGAAACTACTTGGGGAAGTGAGATTGTAGCGAGCACGTGTTTTTGGAAATGATCCACGTTAAGCCTGTACAGTTTGTTACTAGCACCGAATTCAGGCCCAAACTGTCAGATATGGAAAACCTTGCTGATCTGAAGGGTAGAATGATGTTCCCTTATAGATTTGACCCTGAGGATTAGAGGCCCAGAGTGGCAGTAAGGTCAAGCAGCTTAGATCGTCTCGTCGCAGATTTACACCGAATCGCTGAAGGAAAATTTTATTTACAATTGAATTCATGTGGCCGATAACCGTATTAAATCGTTAATAATATTAGATCGATAATCATTTCACCGCCATCCACCTTGGAGGTGAGCGACGCCTCCGTGCATGTTCATGATCTGTAAAAGGTCCGACCTTATGGATGAGGTACCGTGTGATACAGTAACCGTTACAGTATGTTGATATCACAATAAGAACTCACTTCTGACAGAGACACTTTTGAAAGTGGATTGACATGTAGAGGTCCATGAATGGGATGAACGGCAATAGGTGACTAAAATCGTATTGCACTGGTTAGAAGGTACGTGGTAGAATTCGATACAGTGGAGCCATGCTACTCTTGTAAAAGTTAGGGTTTTCAAGGCCACCACATGTACAAGCATAACTGTAGCTGCATTTCCTTGCAGAGAACTGCCAAGGAGCGCTGTCAGTGGTGCATCTCGCCACTACCATTACAAGGAACTGCGGCTTCGGTTACGGTAGACCATGTTGTGGAAGCTTTGGAAGGAACCACTGGGTAAACTTCCACCTACTATCGATGAATTATCGCTCCAAGGTCATCAAAAGCAGCTGCTTACCGATCGTTCCTTATTCACCGAATGATAGTCGCTGATAACGGGAAGAACGTCAACGTGGTTCTGAAAGACAATCTCTAAGGAACTGAATGATCCACTCCGGGATTAAGACGGGTTTTTCACTAAGGCATGATGTCTGATTGGGTAGTTGGCTTTATGAGTATCGGTGGCATCCTCATCGTCCTCCAGTCCTTGTTTCCTTTTCACTGCAGCCAGTTTTCTGTGAAGATGGCCGATATCATTGGCAGATTCGACTGAAAGGTTGGGCATATGGCTGGGAACCAATGAAGTGACCAATGAATGAACTCACCCAGGGAAACCGTTACGATGAGTATGAGACAAAACGTGTTTGCCATAGGTGTCATCGCAAAGCGGGTCTAGCGAATGAAGTACGACTACCTTGGGGGACGGAACGATATTCTCCCTGCCGGACACGCTATCGCCATTTAGCCACTCCCCTTTCCCTAGGTTCTGTCGGTGTGAGCTTTCTAGTTGTCCATTCTCTCTTCCTGTTTTCCGAAAGATCTGGACCTCCTGAGTAAAACGGCCAGAAGGTACGATGGGTTGCTGAAAAGTGATCCATCTCTGTGGGATTTAAAATGTCAATGGAATGTCTTGTGGTTGGCCAACTTTTCAAATTTTCAAGATCTTTTCTTTTCCGATAGTGCTCATTGCTTTTTTTTGGCATATCCGGATTGATCAGAAGAGATTCTACATGATCGTGAAAACGGCTGCCACTTTGTTACTGTGACGAGGCTTCTTCTTTTGGATGAACTTGGTCGTTACTAGTTCGGCTAGTTTCAAGCCTTCATAGGGGCAATGACAGATGGCTCCATAAATATCAGCTTGATCTTTTCTACTCTAGGGGTCAGATGAATAGTCCTAGCCGAAGTGCTGTTTCAATATCAATAGCTCATTTCCTGATGAACTGAATCAGTCCGACAAAGGTTAATTATGTCGCCAGTGAATGTACTGGGGAATGGCCTGTTCAAGATAAGGTTAGATGAATTTGTAATCCACATCTGTTAAAAACAAAACATCGCAGCCATCGAAACGGTATCAGGCAAACCATGCCGAAGACGTCAAATCATTTGCACTAACTTGTTCACTGCAGACAGTATCGCATAACCGACGCTTCATAGACAGTCGAGTTTGGGGGGGTCCGGGAACTTCTCCCCTAACACGGCGTCGCACACGCTGCACCCGCCGCCTATCGCAGGATTGCGATGAAAGAATGGAGCGCGCAATTTGTGAGGTAGAGAGTCCTTTAATCATTTGAGTTGGCTGGTCGCTCCCTTCAATTTCAATGCGGTATTGATCGTCGTTTATATAAGAGGAGTCATTTTAATTAATCAAGTCTAATAAACATGAAAACTAAAAAGAAACAGAAGAAAAAACGACAAAATCCAATGAAAAAGCAAGCCAGTCAAGGAAAAATATCGCGTCCTATCGATTTTCGGGAGGCGGGGTGAGTACGGTAATTGCAGTGCCATTTGCCGCATGCCGCAGGGGAGAATGCCGCGATAGGGGAGAAGTTCCGTTACCCAGTTTGGGTATGTGTACGGACGTGCGTCCGAGGATTCGTGCGGCAAATTGCGCGGCGAAGTTCGTAATGGTTTNAACGAGTTTGGCGCCTGTCATTGGGGCTCAAATTTCAAATAAAGTGGATTAGGAGGATCATCCCACCCTACTCAACTACACTACTTCGAGTTTGTGCCCCGAAAATTGGCGCCGCAGTCGTACAAATCGTCACGAACTTTGCCGCGCAATTCGCCGCGCGCACCCTCGGACGCACGTTCGTACCGTCCCCCTCGAGTTTGTTCTGCTTAATTTTCATTGCAAAAGTTTTCGTTGTATGGGGTCCGAGAAGGGTTTTGTTTATTTTTTCCACTAAATAGTTTCATAATTATTATATCTTCGAACATTCGATTGGTTCATTTCGCCAAATAACGATAACTCACGTCCGCTTAGTGGCAATGCACTGTTTGAATCACTATTTAACGGTTAGCGAACCTAATTCTTCGTGGGTTGAGCCATGCGGTCGTGTTCCACGGAGTATTTGATCTGGACAGTGATTCTAATGCGAACCCCGATTGGAAGTTTATGAGATTGGGGCGAAACTTTACATGAAATGGGGCGAAACTTTACATAAAATTAAAGTAAAATAATAAATAAATAAAAAATAACAATATTAATGTATTCATGTTTTTCTTGTAGTCTCCAATTTTCAATATCGAAGAAGAAAACAAATACGAACAATTACATAGGTGTCGTTTCATTTGGTCGCCCTACTCTGTTTGTTCCCGAAACGGTGGGCATCGACTCCATTTCGATGATTCCGCGATTAGCCAGTACAGTCTCAAAGTGTGGACTTCTCTTGAAACAGCCTCCTCGTTTGGTTTCCTTAAAAACTGGACGTTTTGAATGACATTTTACCTTTTTGGCAGTGCGTTTATAGGGTGGTTGTAAGGAGGCGTTAATTCGCCGTCGTCTCGTACGCCACATCATCTTAAGGGACATGAAATAGATTCTAGCGCCTGATCTATTGCTTTGTCAGTGAAGGGACCAAATTCACCAGCCCAGGTGCAACAACTCCCAACAGATTCACCCCACCAACCTTTCAGATTTTCGTTTGAGAAAAAATCTGACAGCAGTTTGACTGTAGTCCGTAAGAGGAATATGATCCAATCTTATCCATGAGCAGAGTGTCTCCCTGCCCTGAATCGAGACCGACGCGTTATGCCCTCAAGCCTTCCTTTCGGTAGGCAAACAGCAAATTTAGAGCTTTTATGGCGGGGCCACGTGAAATATCAGCTTCATTCGTAAGAGCAAACAAGTGAAAAATAGCTACTTTTTCACATTCTTCAGTATTCAGTTTTTCTCCTGAGTTTTCACAACAACGTATGCCCAACCTCACAAAAAGTTAGTCGTCATGTTCCGCTGTAGCTCAGCTGCACGAACTGGACGAGTTGATGTCAGGGTTTTTGGGTAAGTCTAGCAGTTTTTTTCACAGTCGTGTGAAGCTGAACTTTCGTTGTTTTTTTCTTTTTACAGTTGTAATAGAGTGTTTATTTTCTGGTTTACATTTTGTAATCTACGAATTGATGGCTGTTTTTTCTGGTCGAAATTTCTGCAAATACATTCTACCGGTTTACAACTTATCACTTCGATCATTGACTTTAATAATGGCCTTTCGTATGATACTATCGCGTGAAATGTATATGTTCTTTGTAATATGTGTAATATTGTAGCATTTTTAACACGACGGTGTTTTTAGATATGATAAGCTGTGGGATTTGCGGAAAGCAAATGGCAAATGCGGATGGAAAGTGGGCATTTACGACCAGATACCAGAACATCATCCTGCTCGTGTCTCTATCACTAGCTGGCGAAATAGACAGCAGACAAGCCCTTATTACTGCTGAGTCCATCAGAAAAGCGAAGCCAAAAATGTGCCATGAGCACGTAGTGCAAGCGGTAAGTGAAGTATAGTCACAAACTCAGGACATGTCCGAATTTGTACCGTAACATTATTTGTCCGTATCGAGTAATAGTATCAGAATCGTCTGAAAGGAGAAGGGCACTGACTTGTACATGGGCTGTCCACCGGAGTTATCCATTGTATAGGTTAAAGACGCCTTCAAAACGCCACTACGATTCGTAATGGAAGTCGAGTGTGGGGTGCGTTCAAAAAACGGAGTTGGTTACGATTAGAAGACTCTATCTTTTTTCTTTTAACACTAGTATGTAAAAATTGCATATATCAATGTTGTAGTATGTAGCAAGGTGTGTTACTCGTAAGTAGGCTAAATGTTTGCGACTGGTATCTAAAGGTAGGGTGTTTCAGGATAATCAATCCCGTTTCTGGCACATGCCCCGTTCGACTTTCATTCAAATCGAATCCGTATTATGATTTGCTGAGGAAGGCCTTCTTGCAATTTTTCATTCTCCCAGACGAGACTGGTACGGCTTGGTTTAAATGGGCGAATATCAATCCGCAACTAAATTCTTCGCCCAATACTTGTGATAGTGCGCCATTTGGCACGACACCTATTCCTTCCTAAGAGTGTTCGGATGGGGAATCAGAAATGTGCTACATTTTTCTTTTTTTTTGGCTCTTGTAGTATTTTCGTGAAAGTGTCTAAGCTAATTAAACTTGTGGACAGGCACACTGTATGCTGGCTAAGATGGCAATGGCAGGGAAGGGTATCAGCTATTGCGATGATCCCAATGCTTTGCGCAGTACAGCATACGTAACCAATGGAGACATCCCAGAGGATTTGATCGTTGTTTTTAATCGAATGGCAAAAGTATGATTTATAACTATCTTAGCAATTAATTTTTGAAAGTGGCATTAATTGTGAGCTCAGGGTAGCGACGTCACCATCACTGCTCTTCAAGTTAGCAGATTTCTGAATGACGCTTTGAAACGATATTACGATACACCGCTATGGCCAATCTCTGAAACGGTGCGAGGTTTTCTACTTTTCGTTGAGGCTTAAATTGAAACAGATGTTTTCTAAACCTCTGTTCAGATCTTAATGAAAGGTAGAAGGAAGAAGAGTGAGCCACCAGAAAATCCTGTTCTCAACACTGCGAACATTCCCTCATTTTCGAAGACAATTGTAAGTTTGTTATCAGGAATGGAAGTTTTGTAGCTACAGAAATACAGGATTCCAGAAGGATGAGATCATACTCGATGGCACATCGGAGTGTTCCATGATTATCGAAAAGACAGATCCAGATGAGTCGGATTATCATATTCCTGTGAAGGAGGAGATCCCAAGTCAGTCCTGTCCCCGATGTGGGCGCAGGTTAATCGTCAAACAACCGATTGACGTTGCGACTACGAACGTTGACGGATCTATTTGCAAACAGTGCAGCATAAGTACATCACCTGTGCGGCTTTGGGGAGACCGTGTCGGGCCGAGTGGGGAAGGAGCGTACAAAGGAAATGTAGCAGCTTCCACAGCTGCTGTAACGACCGGTTTACAGTACCGGGTGAGTTCAAAAGCAGAATGGAAATAGCTGACACTTAAAGAAGAATAGTTATTTAGAAGCTCGAACGATGGGCCAGTCAGCTGAATTTGGCTTTATTTTCAAAATGTTTCTACAAAGACATTTCCGTGTTGACAAAACTGACGAAACGAAATGATTCTTGGAAGAACCATACACATTTGTTACCTTTCGATGTGAAAAATGGACGAACAAGAAGGAGGCGTGGGGGAAGTCAAGTAAGTTTTGAAGTTTGTTCGAAATTCTTCTGAAGTGTTCAGCATTCATGTTGCGGCTTCCTTTGTGAAAGTTGATGAAAAATCTTTTTCACGGAGACCTATCCTTAAAGTTACGCAGTGTTCTGATCGCGATTATGACCAAGCTGGTTTCACAAATTTTTCATGCCAAATCAGTCGGAAATTTGTGCGTAGAAATTATTCGTTGTCCTGTTCAAAGCTCGGTACTTGAACCTACTCTAATATTCATTTGTCGTGCCATTTTGCCCTTGAAATAATCGCTGATTCTGTGCATTAAGTGTGCAATACTTAATTATATATGTAAGTTATAATAGCATACGATACAAAAAGACAGAGTGGGTGCAGTACCAGGTGGCACGCTGCCACCCATGTATGGTCCCTTGTTTGAATCCCATATCGGTCCTTAAACATGCCAACATGCCCACCATTCATCCGGCCGTTAATTGGTATCAGACTTGTTCTAGAGGATAAAAGCACTGACTTGTAGGAACTAATATTCCACTCACAAAGATTCTAAATGGAATCGATCGGGTGGGGGTGGAGGGATGGGGCTAACGCCAAGGGATTTATCCTCTGGAGGGCTTACCAATTGGAAGTTTTGTGGAATATTAGAGCTGTTTAAAGAAATGTTTCTCGTAAAAAATAAACTGGTCATTGAGGTAAAATTGTTCTGAAGTGTTTGTGAATTCCATGTGATTTACTCTTCGTTCCTTTTCCCGTGGCGTGTGTTTGCGCATGTACATAAATGAATAAATGGATAAATTCCTTTTAATTCAGTCAAGTGGATCATTGGTTGCCGAAAACATAACAGGATCTGTGAGAGCTTCTTGTGAGTCTTTGTTATGTACTATTCAGCTTTGGCTCACTTATCAAACAAATCGAAATTACAGAGAATGACGATAGGAAATGGCGCATACTATGAGTACTTGTAAAAGCCTTTGTGGTTCGCGGGCTCTTATAACACGGAGGGCGAGTATTTTGTTGTACTCGTTTAGTATTTGTATAGTCATCACTTTTTGCAAACCCTTGAACTTCAAAACGAACTGCGTATTCATCAGGATAATTTAAAATGAAATTCACAGTCAGTGTTTCAGATGCTTTCGTTGCACGGGTTCGAACGGGAACACTCGCCATCTCGAAGATCTCACTGACTGCTCTAAGGTAACCCCTTGAATGACGAGATTTTGTGAGTGTTTTCTATTCTCCACGCACTTGTTTCGGGATTTTTTAGTGACTTCCATGAAATACAAGCTGTTCTGTTGGGCCGAGTTCTAGCAATCTGGGGCTTTGGAGGTATGGTTTTGCTAGTAGGCATCATTGCTCATCCACTTGCTGTCGTGATTGCTGTTTTATGTAATAAAAAACTTTTGCTAGCAATTAGGTCATCATAGCCTTCAAAACTATGTATGAAACTTGTGGTAATCTTGTAATTCAAGTGGTTCTAGCGTACTGTTTACAAGAGAAAGCGTATCTTTTATATGTTCATATTGGAAGTCGATTTTTCCAACGTCTTTTCTCTCTCTTCAACAATTTGCTCTAGGATGGAACCCAAAATAATCGTCGATAACCACGTGTTTTTATATATTTAGATTTTGTATGCATGAGCTAAGTCGCTTTATTTTTCACTCTTCTTAGTTTACATTGTTACTCTGAATCAGGAAAGTGAATTATTTTTTTGTACGAAGTTTTCCCCATCTGTTTTGCGTCCCATTTTCTTAGATGTTAATGCATTTATTATACGGTTGTGATTAATTGACATTCTGATCATGAGCGAATATCGATTGAATAAGTGAAGTCTGTGATTTGTTTATGAAGGCTGTGGAATTAATCATTCCGAATGCATATTTGCAAAGTAAATATAGTCACTTACGAAAACTATCAATCAAGCTTGGATGTGATAAGTTTAGAATCAGAGATTTTATAAGTAAGCTCTTTAATTCTAACTGTGTGCGTAATCTTGTGCGACAGCAAGGAATTTAATCGAAAGAGCTCTTTTGTGATGCTAATTGTAAGAGGGCAGTTGTCTTGGCCCGAACACGACTGTGTTGCTCAGGACTTCGCCTTCTTACATAATCTACCGAGTAGGCCGCCTTCGGACACGTTCTATGAGGGGTATCAACTATGGTTGATATGATATAAAGGTTTTATATCCATTTAATACCGTGTCTTTCCTTAGAGAGGTGAGTTCAATCTGAAAATGAGAGAGGATCCGTTGAGGATGGTCCAACAGAAGGAAGTTTTCGATTGTTGTTTTCATTTCCTCATCTAAAGGTCCCTCTAGTACCCACCCCTCAGCTGACAGCGACGTTCTAACGTTAGATTGCTTGGCTCTCAGTGGGATGCCATTGTATATGACCTCACGTCGTTAGCCTTTATCTGCACGGCACCATGGGCCAGTATCCCCTGCCCAGAAAAAAATGATATAGATAGCTTTTCGGATCACTCCTCTCCTGACCCCAAGTCGCTTTCTTCCCAGCCAGGAGCCTCATGTCCTTGGCAGAGCACAGGGCTCCTATGTCCGAGGTTATTTTACATAACCGAACTGAATCGGGCAGTTGGAACCAAGACTGAAGCAGGTTACTTCTTTTCAAAACCCCCATTATACACTAAGGAAGTAGCCAGAAGACAGCCACTTTTTATGAAAAAGACAAGCTTTTAAAAGTAAAAGTGTACCACAAAATAAGTCAGAACCATGGTCTGGAGCAGGTTTCCTGCTCCAATCTTCCAGGAAAATTTTCGTGGCCCTAGAAAACTGGTCCCAGCAGCACCGTCATTTCTTGTAAGTGGAGTTAGAAAAAGGAACAATTGTTTCAAAAAGTCTTTTTTTCTGTGCAAACTTTCGTTGATTGTGCGGTATGTAGTGCAAAACGCTAATGTTGCTCCCACAGCGATAGGGATACGGTGAAAATTTGAAAATTGATTCGGCGCCAATCGGCCAAAACGCTTTTGAACGGCAGTCTTTTTTTGGTTGTGCGTTCGCTTCGCATTTAACTTGTTGCTAAGGCCCATATTTTTCCCTCTCCCGTCATTTATTCATTTTTTTCATTTATTTTGTAATCTCTTTGTTTTATCACAAGTATGATGTCACTATAGATAGTTTTCTTGTTTAATAGGATGATTTTAGTGTATTGGGCATGAAAATTCCGCAGTTTTGCCAATAATTTATAAAGAGATTATCGTGCATTTGGCTTATATATCATGGGAGCGTACCTCGATAAACCTGTAACTGAAAAGGAATCCGAAAGTGGTCAAGGAAATGGCTTGACATTTGGCGCCACTTGTATGCAAGGATGGCGAGTGAAACAGGAGGTGAGTTTTTACTGCAATTTGAAGAGAAATTTGAACTTCTTAAATATCAGAATCATCTCTTATTATCTGATCCTTTACTTTGAAAATAGTTTGCTTCTTTTGGGTTAGTTATGATTTTAACTCAATGCGTCTTGAATTATGTGAAGCGATTTACAAATATTACTTGTAAAACTACGAATTGCTTTGCATGCAAAATAAGAGGTTTCTGGGGAAGAGACTTCTTGAAATCACTCTGCAATTACAATAGTAACGGTCAAGTTTTTATACACCATTAGTGGTGTTTAAAATAGAGAGGATTACTTGATTCATTGTTATTGCCGTCTAGTACGCAACATTTGAATCTGCCCCTTTGGCGCTGCTCAGTCTGTTCGTTATAAATGCCACTATTTAGGTAAGAAGTTTCTCGAATGTTCTCGACTTGCAGGCTATGCCTTTTTAGTTTACGCAAAACCCACGTTTGTTTGAAGAACAGGAGATGTAGGCATAAAATCTTTATTACATCCTCCATGAAAACTTTTCTCTGTGTAAAACCGTCAAGGTAAAAGTTTTTCCCACGGTTCGTGCTTGCCCAGGGTGATGGTTGTTAGACTAGCAGTCTCCCTAATTTTAGTATTCATTGTATTTGCCGAGTGCTAATTGTATGAAAGGGTATAAAAATGTACAGTCGGGACAGAGCTTTGATACCTCTTTCCCAGTTTCTTTCTTCTCTTCATTCAAGCGGAGGAAAGAAATAGAGAGAAGAGCCTTAAAATTCCTTCCCTGCAGCGAGAGTTTTATTTCTATACGCGGTTCTTATGGTCCTACTGAATGGGGGTCGGTATTCATCATTTCCCTGTCCCCGTCGGCATGTCGAACGTTGCCATGCGCGCGGCTGCCTCCAATGTCCTTGCAAAGGCTCTTTGTGTTTTGACATTGAAGGTGGATTACCCTGACTAAAAAGTGCGTGGAGATCAAGCTTCAATCCCCCGTCTGAAGTGAGCTACCTATGCTACTTATTGTGGAGTGGAAGTATGGTAACTGTCCTACCAGTAGGTAGGAAATAGCGCATCTGGAAAGGTGTCTAGAATGTTACTGCCGTAAAGTTGATCTTAGGATTGAGTTAAGCTTTTGCGGCTACGATGCAGGCCACTTTACGAATTCCTTTTGTAAGATCTTTGGTTGGATCGCTCACCTTGTCCTTTCCTTGCATACCAGTCATGTCGTCAGAATTCCAAGTAGGACCCTTCTACAAGACTCAGCTTTTTGTTTATACTTTAAACTGATCTCTTTTTGCATAACTAGTTAATTACTTTGCATAATATCGAAAGTTATTCTTTGTACACTTGTGTGCTGCGTGATAGGCTGCTTCTGTTAGATTAGTTAAGGTACTGCACAACTTACAGGATTGTTTGGATTATTTCTAGCTGTTTCAGGACGCCCATAATTGTATCATTGAGTTGAATGGTGATTGGAGTATGTTTGCCGTATATGATGGCCATGGTGGCGACGAAGTGTCTAAATACACAGCTATGAAATTTCCTGATTTCTTAAAAGAGCGGTACTTATAGATCTCTCCTGTTTTGCTTACACTTTACCTAATTGATTATACTTTCTTTAGTAAATCACATATTCGGATCTTACTTGATATGCATAAAAAGTTGTACCCGGTTTGAAATTAGTGCGCGGCGAATATATGACCAACATTTTGCTCTTTTAGGCCATGCGTTATCTCTGAAGCAGTCAAGTCAAAAGTCGCTTCGAAATTACTGCCTTCGCTTGTAGCGATGGCAGTAATCTGCATAAGGGATATGGAACTACTAGTAGGGGCTATTACTCGCCGATAGACCCTTCAATAGTTGCATAGCCACTGGGCAAGCAGTTAGATTTTGTTTCATACCAGGGGTTTCTTGGGCTCGCTTATAAGGTGGCTCTGCTTCGTATTCATGGTATTGACTGTGCTCTCACTTTTTTTTGAGAAGATATTCGTAGATTCCATTCATGGAAACCCGATTTTTATCTGAACTTGCGAGGTTGAAGAGTATTTTTTGCCCTCCGCATTGAAATCCTATGCTGTTTATAGCCATCGATTATACTCTTAATCATAAACCCGGGCGCCTTTTAAAATCGCTGAATACTGAGAATTGTTGTTTCTTCCTGTCAATATCATCACCCCATTTATGTACAAGTCTCTCAGAGTTTCCTGAAAGAGAACCTTGCCGAGATCACAGCGATTTTTAGCCTTTCCTCTCGTTCCTCACTTTTCAAACTTGAGATTTCCCGAGTCAGAAGCTTTTTCAAAAGAATTCCACCTAAAACAAAACCTTATCATTAAAAAACCCACTCCCACCTCCGAAATTTCTAGAACTGTCTTGTCTTTTCCTTTCTTGATGTTATGTACATTTCAGGGAGTTTTGGGCGAGTGATGACCTTGTACCCACGTTGCAACAGATATTTGTCGATTTTGACGATGTTTTACGATCGGACGATGTTATGAGGGAACTAAAGGTGTGTTCGTTTGCAATGACTGATATTATGCATACCTTCCGCTAATGTTTTCTCTTGTATTCATCATTCTTCTGTTACGATTGATTTCTAGAGAATGGCAAAGGAAAGCGAAGATGTTCCTGATAGGGAAGATGATTGCGATAATAGTTCAGATGAATGTGACAGAATACAAACCATAGAAGAAAGTGCCATGCCGTTAGAAGAAATATTATCTAGGTATGTGAAAGTCACGGCCCTGAACAGAATGAACCCCAGCCGCTGTCTTCAGACATTGAAATCCCTAACAGGGAAGGTCTTCCAGGGCGTGGGACGCTTTTCGAAAATGGTTTTTTGCATGGTATAGGGGCATGAGCACTGAGTATAAAACTATGGTCCATTTCCGCTAAATGGCCTTCTGAATGCCAAAAAAGGGGTGAAAAAAA